AACGGGGAAAATACGAGAAAAAGTAGGATTTTTACGAATCTCCAGTGACGTTATAATTTAATCAAAAAATTAAACTGTCAGAACTAATATTTTTAGGTAGAATTTTGTTCGAATACCAAAGATATAGTTGCAAAAGTTAGAAAACGTGTCAGATTAATGAGAAAATTGAACTTTATTGAAGCACCTATGCATTTTATGTGGAACAAAATGACACAAAATGGCGGTTCGCTACGTCACCGAAGTCACGTGATGTCTTACTTAGTTGGATATGAATAATATGATGTCCTTATGGGCTTTACCAAATTGTGATGTGCACTGAAATTGTGATCGTGTGTAAACAACGAATGGAAACGTCATAGGACCATTCGAGTTCTGTTCTCCATGTTCCAGTTTATCAAAATAAATCAGTCATATTTATTTTTCCAATGTAAACCAGGCCTGTGTCAGTTCGTCCCGAGCCGAAAATTTGTCAATGACAGTCGAAATTGAAAAATGGCGGTTCTGAAGACTAAAATTATTGAATAGAATTTCTTTTTCAACGATACATTACTTTTTTGACTTCTTATATTTTTAAAATGATTTTCAAACTTAGGATATCATGTATACCGCTCATTATACGTTTGGTTTCTTAAAATTTCACAAAACTACAGGGGAAATATTTTTCTGCGCAGCGACATCTGTGGACGGCTTTCTCAGAAATGATCTCCACTTCATTCTCAGATATTAAATCCGGGGTTTTAACGGACAAATCAGGGATTTGCAGTGTCCGGCTGTTGGGAATATATAATATTGTGCTTAACTAAACTACAATTATAAACTAGAAAATAAATCAGTTTTAAAAGCAAATATTGCCTTCTTTCTTATTCAAATTTTCTTTGAAAAAAACCGGACTGGGTTTAAAAAAAACTTTCACGTTTTAAATGTTGCTCTCGAAAAAAACACGGAAAGAGTAAAAGGCTGAATTTTTAAGTGCAATTCAAGGTAATTGTGCGGAGTTTGTGCCCAAAATATTTACACTATTCAGAATAAGATGAACAGTCAGTAGTAAAACTATTATACTTGCGAAATATCAATAAATTGGTCGGAATGCATGTGATATCACTCGAAAAAAAACTGATCTACACTCGAGAAAGTGCACCGATTCACTCGATTTCAGTCGGACATTATACCTACCGTGATATATTTTAAATGAATAGTCGAATGGACGGTGAAAATTTAAGATTGCCTATTGAAAAGATGTATCGATATCTGTGGTTAGGACATTAATTTTGTCATTCATGTTAATTGAAATAGCTCATCTGCCGACACCTTAAGATTTTACAAGATTTCTTTTTACGTGCAACACACAGAAGTATAACTCTCCCAGCAAAGGGAACAATAAAAGAGTTATATGCATTGCGCTCGGTATTTTTGGTAGTTAAGTTTTACATTTTAAACCTCGTTTTGCGTTATAATATTATTAGGTGTTTTGTCTTATAAACTGTACATGAGGTAAATTCAGATTTAAAAAGAAAAGATAGCATTTTAGTGGTTTCTTTTTCGAATTAAGTTTAGCTAAGACATTCATTCATTTGATCAAATTCGACTAAATGTTTTACATGTACCCCCAATGATCCATTATAAGGCAAGCGGCATCCCAACTTCTAAATGAATGATCAGTTTTTAATCAATTAATTTCATTTAACACCGATTTCACATTATGAACAAGACATCAGGATTGTTTTTTGTTAACCTTTGCCTTCAGTCGATATACATGTAGGACCATTAAGCTCGAGATATATATACGCCAAATCGAAATACAGCTACAGTCCTTGGATGGTGTAAACTTCCCACTAACACCATACACCATTACACCATTCATCATACACCATTACACCATACACCCTGTACCATTCCACCATACACGTTACACCTTTGCACCATACACCTTACACATTACACCATAATGCAATTTAATTTCAAAGAAAGCGTGCGACTAAAAAATTATTTATTTATTTCAAAAAACGAATTTTGATCACAATATTGTAAACTAATGTATAAAATTAAAAATCAGTTCTTATCAATATTTTGCATAGTTTTAAATGTCGTACACAATCCATTCACACCATTCCCGATCGCACGTTACACCATTACACCATTTCTTTTACACAATACACCATAGCACCATACACCTTCTACGATTGCAACATATTCCATACACCATTACACCATACACGTTTTTTTTTTAAGTTTACACCATCCAAGGGCTGTATAACTGTACTGTAACGTACAAAACCGCAACCTTTATTATTTAATTATTTAAGTATTTTTTATTTATAAGCACGGATTTTATTGGTACAAAATTAATTTTACGAAGACCTATAATTTTCAAAAGTTTATTTTGCTCCTGCACAAAAAAAAACAAACAAAAATGATAAAAATTTGTCAGTTACATTTCCTTCTTACGCAATAAAACTTTAAAGATTACTATTAATTTGGAAATGCCTCAAGAACATCCTTGGGTCATAAAAAATTTCATTGGTACCACGTTGAAAGAGATTTCATTGGATATAAGAACATTTAACAAAAAAGAGAATCATCACCAAAACTATTAATATATATATATATATACATATATAGAGACATTTATACGATATAATGTTGACTATACGATATGGGTTTTGCTAATTTTTAAAGACCATACGTGGACCCATAGTTGCTTTAACCTGCTTCATTTAGACTCTGCTCTTTAGTTGTTTAATTGACAATCATATGCATTTCAGCCGCCGTGAAGTCGAGATAATTAAGACAACTTGACGAGATTATTATCTCATCAGGTAGACTTACCTTTTGCGTTATGTCGACTAAATTACATCTTATGTCGACTTTACGAGATAATTATCACATGTCGACATAAGTATCTCGATATGTTGACTTGATATATTTAGCAAACTCGTTCTAAAGTCGAGATGAATGCTCGCATCTGCCGTCATGTTGTCGTGTTGTCAAGATAATTAAATATATAAATTAAAATGAGATAGGAGTCAATATTAACAGAAACAAATAACGATAGGGTTCAAATATTACATTTAGCTATGTATGTAATATTGAGAATGGAAATGAGGAATGTGTCAAAGAGACAACAACCCGACCATAGAACAGCAGAAGGTCATCAACAGGTCTTCAATGCAGCGAGAAATTCTCGCACCCGGAGGCGTCCTTCAGCTGGCCCCTAAACAAATATATATACTAGTTCAGTGATAATGAACGCCATACTAAACTCCAAATTGTACACAAGAAACTAAAATTAAAAATAAAACAAGACTAACAAAGGCTAGAGGCTCCTGACTTGGGACAGGCGCAAAAATGCGGCGGGGTTAAACATGTTTATGAGATCTCAACCCTCCCCCTATACCTCTAGCCAATGTAGAAAAGTAAACGCATAACAATACGCACATTAAATTTCAGTTCAAGAGAAGTCCGAGTCTGATGTCAGAAGATGTAACCAAAGAAAATAAACAAAATGACAATAATACATAAATAACAACAGACTACTAGCAGTTAACTGACATGCCAGCTCCAGACTTCAATTAAACTGATTGAAAGATTATGTCTTCATCATATGAATATCAGGCAAACTATTTTGTCCGAAAATTTATAAATAAGAAGTTGTTATTTGATTGCCAACTTTCCATTCCTCGGAACAACACGAATGAACTGACATGTGGAATGAAAAAAGGACTCCGTGAATCTTCGAAAAGCAAGACATCTGCATCGAAACATTGACTTGATCTGTAATTTATCATTATTCACTAATGAATCTAAACTAACCAAAATATCTTCAATCATATTGAAACAATTTGGAATAACATTAACTGTATTGATTTTCCTGCACCAGGTGCGCTCTTCGGGGATGTTCGGAGACATAATATTTGAAAATCCAAAACTTATTTAAAATGCTTATAAACCGAAAAGGACAAATGAATAACCAAAGCCGGACAAGAAAACATAGCTGTGCATGACGGAGATTTATTCCTTAATTTAAAAATAAATTCCAAAACATTGTAACTGTTACAGCCAATTTTTATAACACAATAGCCGTATTTGCATACTTATATATGGTACTGGCTACTAGGCTGGTGATACCCTCGGGGACTAACAGTCCACTAGCAGGGATATCGACCCAGTGATAATAATTACAGTAACGATACAAATTGTTATGCACCAGATTGTATTTCGACAATAAAAGTCTCTTCAATAGAGCTCGAGGCCAAAATATTTGAAAATCCGAAACACAGGCAAGGAATCTGAGCTTTGCATTATGGAGAAGTACAAAGGTTTCTTTTTATCAATAGGATTAAACTTTCACAAAAAGTAGATAATCTGACAAATAACTCAACCTCGATCTGTAATGAATCATTATGATTATATAATTTTACCCGGCACATTCTTTATGTGTCTGTCCTATATCAGGAGCCTGTAATTCAGTGGTTCTTGTTGGTCTGTCTTTTTTTTTTTTCGGAAATTGATTTGTGGATAAATTAGTCCGCTTTTTTTTTTTTTTATGTTAGTGTCTTTAAGTAGCTGACTATACCTGTATACAGTATGGGGTTTTCTACTAGTTGAAGGCCGTACCTGTCATTGCTTATATCTGTCATGTGTCTCCTTATTTTTTATATTAAGATAACAAAAGTCTGGACATTTGTTGGATTACAAAATGGCAGACATGGGTTACACTTAGGCAAATGGTTAGAACATAAAAATATTGATATTTATACAGTCCACATGCATAAACAGAAGAAATGATTTTGGCTGTATACTGCTCAATTTGTTTTCTATTCTTAGGTTTTGATTTTTAGATGCTCAAATCAAATCAAAATCGACGATTTCTTGCATCATATAGCATACGAACATTTATTCAAAAAGTAACTACTGAAACAAAGGAACAATTTATGTTTACTTTTATAATTCTATTAAACATAAAGAGATCAAGATTGCAAAACTGTGACATATAAACTTACCTTTTGCTTGATTTGTTGGTGCTTCCATTCTTCAAATTTATACTTTGTCCTATAAGCAAAGAGAACATTTCAAATGCATTATAATACTTATATATTTTAATTTGATACCCTAGACAAATGCATACTTGATTTCAATCGGATATTATGAAATGTATTATAATATCTATAATCTTTATACCAGCAGAAATGACTCACAAGTGTTTACACAACGTACTGTTGTACGTTTGTTTTTACTACATTGGCTAGAGGTATAGGGGGAGGGTTGAAATCTCAAAAAACATGTTTAACCCCGCCGCATTTTTGCGCCTGTCCCAAGTCAGGAGCCTCTGGCCTTTGTTAGTCTTGTATCTTTTTTAATTTTAGTTTCTTGTGTATAATTTGGAGTTTAGTATGACGTCCATTATCACTGAACTAGTATACATATTTGTTTAGGGGCCAGCTGAAGGACGCCTCCGGGTGCGGGAGTTTCTCGCTGCATTGAAGACCCATTGGTGGCCTTCGGCTGTTGTCTGCTCTATGGTCGGGTTGTTGTCTCTTTGACACATTCCCCATTTCCATTCTCAATTTTAACAATATATATATACCGTATTCAATTGTGTGCATCAGATGCGCGTTTCAAGAGGTTGTTTTTTTTTTCGTTTTTCGAAAACAAATATTGGCAACCAGTTATGTTCAAATTAAGGATGAAGAGAAATAAACCAAAAATAAGATATGTCGTCTAACAATTGCTCCTGTTTTTATGCTAAGAAAAATCAATTGAATATGACAAATTGGCTCGGTACTTATACATCCCGCCATTGTGTAATTGTGCTTGTGTCATTTTTGTATTCTTGTCTTTCATTTGTGCTTATGTACTATGTCTTTAGAGTCTCTATATGCCATTTTTGATGTTGTTGAAATAGCTATTTGTTTTTATAGTGATTAAGATTATATTACAATGTTGACTGCTGTACCCCAACTTTTGACATTTTTACCTATTATGTCTGTTTGTTTTGCTCACACATTGTTGTCAATATAATGGAATTCTAAGCGAATGTCTTACAAATTAGAGGTTAAGTTAGGTATAAACCAGGTTTAATCCACAATTTTCTACATTAGGAAATGCCTGTACCAAGTCAGGAATATGACAGTTGTTTTCCATTCGTTTGATGTGTTTCAGCATTTTATCTTGCCATTTTATAAAGGAATATCTCTTGGAGTTCGGTATTGTTGTTATTCTACTTTTTTAAATGTTGTTAAACGTCACCAGCAAACAAACTGTTAGTGTTCAAAATATCAAAAGTATATCAAGAGGTCACAATACTGTCTTCATACACAAATATCTTTAAAATATTACAAAACTCAATCGCCATGAGTCCACGATAATGTTCGCACTTTTGAGGTTTGAATGGATTAAAAAGTATGAAAAGAAAACGTATATAAAACAAAACCAAACTAGAGAAATGCCCGTGTTGCCAGGGTTTCTTAATTTCAAATTAATACTTAAATTTTTACTAAAATAAACTTACTTTGATTTTGTCACTGTGTGACATTTGTTTTTGGGTTTAAGCCTAGGGTTTAATGGTGGAAATACTTAAATAATTAGCTTTATTGATAATAAAACCGTAATAAGTTTGGTGTATTATAAATAATTGGCTTTATAAATAATAAAACCGTTCACAGCTCGATGTTTAAGAAATAATTAGCCGTATAAATAATATAACCGCAAATATCTTTGTGCATAATAAACAATTAGCTGTATAAATAATATAACTTTATAATAAAGAAATAGCTGTGTAAATAATGTAACCGTACAATGTTTGGTGTATAATACAGAAAAGGCTTTATAATTAATGTAACCGTAAAAAGCTTGTACGGTTGATAATTAATTAGCTATATATAATACAACCGTTCAAACATTTACGACAAAAGGGATGATTTTTCTTTCCCTATTGTAAATTTTCCCTTTTGCGACGGTGATGTTCCTCTGGCACCATCTTACGGTGTTTATATATCCCAACTCGTTCGTTATGCCAGTGTCTGTAGTGACGTTTTGAATTTCAATGAGCGTAATCTATGCATTTTTGGAAAATTATTAAGTCAGGGATTTCGTTACCACAAATTACTTAAAACTTTTACTAAATTCTTCCATATATACAAAGATTTGGTTTGCAAGTTTGGCTGTACCTGTAAAAAACTTATTTCAGGATAGAACATCCTAAATTTTACGGTGATGATGTTGATGAAGCCCGGAAATTTATATACGATCCGGGTAAACTTATCAATCCTTTAAATAAACTTATTTTAAATGTAATTAGATCTTTGAATATTGTTTTTATTGGTATAAATATTGATTTCGTTATCAGTAAATTAAAATCATACAAATGCACTTTAACAGTACTACAATCGGTCGATCGTTTGGCATTTTGGCATTGCACAAGTTCATGTTTTTCTTTGACTGTTGGTGACGTCTTTACACTAAATCCATTGGATGCTTGATGTGTACTGATTGATAATTTGGTCTTAGATACATAATTTGTTTTTATTAGTTGTTATTGGCTTTCAACTAGCTGTCAGTAACTGCGAGTACTCTCAGATCTGTACGTAGTGTCCTTTTGTTGTTAGGGATGAGGGATGGATAAATACCCTACCAAGTCCAGTCTGTGATTATGTTTGATGTTTTTCTGCTTTGTATCGATCTGATGTGTTAAGCCTTTTTCAGCTGATTTTTATAGTTTGTTCTAATGTTGTGCTGTTACACCACTGTACAAGGTTAGGGGAGGGTTGAGCGCTCACAGACATGTTTAACCCCGCCACATTTTGTATGTGTCTGTAACAAGTCAGGAGCCTGTAGTTCAGTGGTTGTAATTTTTTTGTAATAAATTAAGCAGTTAGTTTACTACATTAAATTGTTTCATATTTTTCATGTCGCGGCCTTTTATAGCCGATAATACGGTATGGGTTTTTCTCATTGTTGAAGGCCGTAAGGTTTCCTATAATTGCTTACATCCACTTTATTTCAACTTTGGTGGATAGTTGTTTCATTGGGATTCATACCTCATCTCTTTATCTTTATAAAGCTTGCTGTATAAATAATAAAATCGTACAAAGCTTGGTGTATACAAAGAATTAGCGGTATAAATAATATAAACAAACAAAGCTTGTTGTGTAATAAATGATTAGAATAGCTGTAACAATAATATAACCCCACATAAGGTCGTCAAAATTAGCTATGCTGTTGAATAACCTTATATATATTATGTATCCATATGATTTGCAGAAAATGTTCGTATACAATATCTACATTTTCATTTCCTACTTGCAGCAGGTAGGTTGATTTAAAGGTAGTGTGCATCATGTATTTTAAAGTGTATATTACTTTTCTTATGAAAAGGTTATTTAACGTGCCACTGCACAAGTATGTAATTCTTTGAATGCAAGTTTACTAGTACACATTAATTTTTAATATACTATTACTGAGTGTTATCTTGATAATATGCTTACATTACATCAAAACAACCGTTTATCAATATCTTATTATTCGGCATGCTTAAACAGCTACATTTTTAACAAATCTTATCAGTTTACTTTTATACAAATCCTAAGGTCGGAACTATTTCAAACTAAGTTGACCCCAGATTGCAATGACTACTGGTTTTATCTGGAGTCATAGTTCAATCACACATATTAAAAAAACTGCACACATATGCAGAAGTAACACGAAGTGGTTTTATTGACTAATTCAAAAATAACTGCTTAAAATAAATTTCATTTACTATTTTCCTTGTATTCTTATCGATCAATACCAGTCCACCTCTTACAATTTTAGACAAATAGTATACATATCATCAGCCTGCTTTCCTTTTTTACTGTGTTTCTTTACAATTATTTAATTATTTTGCTTTAAGGGGCTACAAGCATTGAACTGCCTAATTTTTAAAACATTAGTTCTAAACTATAACTTGTCGTGACAGAAAACAATTGCATTTGATGTTAAAATTGAGTTATCTGAATTTGATCTCTACTACTGATTTTATCCACGTACGGGTATTAACGTCATCAGAGGTATGCAAGAGGTAATTACAAGAACTTGTGTAGGAGAACACTTTTGACAAACAATTAATAAACTTAATAGTATGTCTTCATTTAGCTGAAGTGCAAACTTAATTATATATATAAACAAAAGAATTAGGAAAAGTGAAAATACAAGACGATACATTGTGTTTTTGAATATCTGTACAACCAATTCATTGCTTCACTTCATCCTTACTAGAAAAAATGTGTAAACATGTTTGCCCTGGGTTTTTTGAAAAGCAAGAAAACATGCCAATAGCGTTTCTAGCTATATAATATCTTTTATAAGATACTCTTGAGACCGAATGTTGGGGAAGAAAAATACATAAAACAATTGAATATATCAACATCATGAAATAGCTAAAACAATTTGCATGTTCAGAAGGAATAAGGTAGGGTGCAGGTATATGAACATGTCAACAACATATGTGTAATTCATATCAATATAATTTTACTTACTTAATAATCATCTGTTTTGTCAACTCTACGTGCGGATTTATTTTCGCCAAAAGTGAAAGTTAAACAACAAAATGTGCAAACTTAATCGCTTTCTATTATTTAAAAGCTTGAAAAAGATGCAAATATATTTAAATGAACGGCCTTCCATAACACATTTTGTTTTTGTAAAAAAAAAAGTTTTCACTTCTTACCTTCCGTGATATATTACACTCAATACAATCTAATACTATATAGTACATAGAAGAGAACATGATGTGGCCTTAGAATTTGATTGGATAAAAGTCATCATGAAATAATCTATCAAACACATACTGAATCTGTTTGAACATATAATAAAAATTGCGGTAAACTTTTTAAATTTATGTTCACTCTTACACTGTTTCAATAAGTTTCTTTAAATGTGTGCAATGAATAAATTGAGGGTCGTAAAGAAATTATGTAGATGCAATAAATAAAGATATATCTTTAAACTTCAGTTGAAGGCAATAAAACTATATGAGTGGAAAAATAGGGAGTACTTACGTCAATAATATATATAAATAAATGGAGAACTTTGAGAACAGAGGGGATGTGTAATTGTCATTGCAATATCAACCTCATCAAGAAATGTCAAGTGACTTTATGATGACATATTTTTTTCAACATAAAAGTGTGCAATAGATACAAGATATCAAGCTTTTTTAAAATCGCCTTGAGTCTAGAAAACTTGTGAATAAATATAGCAGCGACTATCAATACCTAGACCCATAAAATCATAATGAGTTATTACTGGCTGGTTAATGTCCACTATCAATATACGGGTGCCTAAAAAAATTTCAGGTATATAGTCATTTTTGGAGTTATGTAAATCAAAGTGATATTAATCATTCGACTTCAGTTAGCAATGAATGAGTCTATTACAATATATCGTCTGACATAAAGCAAACATAACCAGCAATACTTCATTATGATGTATGATCATGCACACACCAAGACTTCCACTTCCATGGCACCTCTTGGTTCAATAGCCTTATTGTAAGCAGCAAACCTTGAGCTCTATTCTGGAAATCACGAAAGGAAACGCAAGTCTTGAATAGCGTATCAACTCGAAGATATATACTTCATTTGCAGGCGGTGCTGGAATGTTTCTACATAGAAATTAAAAGTTTCAATTGGGATGCTGAAATCATCGTAAAGTTTTGTTTTCAACCGACACTCAATGTTAATTGTCTAAATGTATTCAAGATATGAGGGAAGACTTAACTGTATTTCTGGTGTTCTTTATTTCAAGTTCGATGGGATAGATGCGTTCAACATCGTCCCAAAATTTTGGAATACTTAAATATAAGGCTAGCTTCTTTTCATTCTCCCTGAGAAGCTCCTGTATGAAGGTTGTCTCATATGAATAAAGGCACAAATCGGTAAAAGGAAGGAGAAGTATTAGTAACAAACAAAACAAATATGTTGTCAATATAAAAAAAAATCAAGTATCTAGATGATATAAAAATAATTTACGATTTCCAATGAGACAACTATTTACCAGATTAAAATGAAGTGGTTGTGAACCATTATAGGCTATCGTACGGCCTTTAACAATGAGAAAAACCCATACCGTATAGTCGACTTTAAAAGGCTCCGACATGAAAAATGTGAAACAGTTTAAACGAGAAAACTAACAGGCTTACTTATTACAAAATAATTTACGATAAACACATATGACAGACATGAAACAACGACAACTACTGTACTATAGGCTCCTGACTTGAGACAGACAGGTTAAAAATGTGGCCGGGTTAAACATGTTTATGACTGCTCAACCATCCCCTAACCTTGGACAGTGGTTTAACAGCACAATATAAGTACAAACTGTATACATCAGTTACAATTGGCTTAACTCAAAAGATCGGTACGAGGCACACAAATGATGATGTCTGTTTAAGAGAATTTGTTGTTTGAATCAGAGAGGTTTTTTTCAGAAAGAATAATTTTTGTTTTGTAATGCGTTTATTGGCAAATAAAATTGAGAATGGAAATGGGGAATGTGTCAAAGAGACAACAACCCAACCATAGAGCAGAAAACAGCCCAAGGCCACAGTGGGTTTTCAACACAGCGAGAAAATCCCGCACCCGGAGGCGGGCTTCAGCTGGCCCCTAAACAAAAATGTGTACTAGTTCAGTGAAAATGGATGTCACACTTAACTCCGAAACATATAAATGAACTAAAATTAAAAAAACATACAAGACTAACAAAGGCCAGAGGCTCCTGACTTGGAACAGGCGCAAAAATGCGGCGGGGTTTAACATGTTTTGTGAGATATCAACCCTCCCCCTTAAGCTCTAGCCAATGTAGAATAAACAAACACACGGCAACACGCACAGTAAAACTCAGTTTGAAAGAAGTCCGAGTCCGATGTCAGAATAGGTAACAGAAGAAACTAAGCAAAATGACAATGATACATGAATTAACAAAGGACTACAAGCAGATACTGACATGCCAGCTCCAGACCTCAATTAAACTGATTGAAAGATTATGTGTTCATCATATGAAAAACTACATATATAAATAATCTTAGTATATGGTATAATTGAATATATATATATATATTGAATCAGAGAGGTTTTTTCAGAAAGTATGATTTATCTCTTCTTAAAACAAGATATTTATATCGACATTGGCCATTCTTTTTTATAAAAAGAAACAGTTGGACTTGTTCTTTCAATCTCTTAAAGTTTAGTTTAGGGGTATACTAGGGCTTAAGGTGAAGAAAAGTCTGATGTGTTTATACTATTGCAAGAGAAAATACTTAGATTGTATGTAATCTAACTGATCTTTCGAGTTTTGTAGTATCCACATCTGATTCACTTAGTAAGGAGTTTCACAGTAACTGTGAAATTTGGCTTTGATTGGTGATATAATTGATGTTAATAGTTTGGCAAGAGGTTTCGTGGAGCACTTGGCAGACCTAGCAATATACCGTTGTTTATAATGACATCTGTGTAAATTAGGAATTCACTACAGTGAGGAAAGATATATGATTAGTCAGGATTTCCTCTTTGGTAAGTGTCTTGGGCATATATGTTGATCTTCCAAGTAAATCGTCAATTCCGTTATCAATCAGTTTATGTTATTTGAATTTCAAACACAAACGATGTTATTCTGGAATTTATCTGCGAGGACAGTAACACATGTGTCATGGATGTAAGACAGGTGTGTTGCAACATTTGGGTCTTTGAAAATAGATATAACATGAGTGTTCATAAACCCATTCAGTTTTTTTATTCTTATTTCTTAAACGACCTTACAGCCTTAACGCATTCGGAAATAATATCAATGTCTTCTTTTTCTCGTTCATCTCATTGACTGGGAAAATCCTCGACTGAATCAATTAATATTTTAAAGTTGTGTTTCAATTTTACGGATTTAGGCTCACGGTATTTCGACCCTTTGGTTAGCACATTTCGAAAACAAGTGCTGTTCATTATGACCCATTCAGGTGTGGTATAGGTATAAGATATAATAGGAATATAAACTTTTAAGCAGGGAGGTATTAAAGCTGTTTACAAAAATATGAAGATGTTAATGAAAGGAAGTGGATGTAAGCAATTATAAGTCATCGTAAGGTCTGTGAAAATTAAGCAAATTCCATACCGTATTGTGAGCTATAAAAAAGCAAAGACAAGATACAATAAAAAAAAAAAATCAAAAAAGAAACACAACTGCCTGATTTGTGTAAAACCCGTGAACAAAAAACAGACAGCTACAAAAGATAACCACTGAATAACAGGCTTTTTTAATTACCTTCAAATATTTATGTCGTTTCTATCAAATATAAATATAGGCAACAGTTGGTTACCAATGTTCAAATCTCATGAATCAATTAAGAAGACACACGAAGGTCACTTCAGGAAAACTGTGGGAATTGCATGAACTCAAAAATGAGCGAGATCGAATGCGTCCACAAAGTAAGCGTGCATCAGTTATAAGATATTCTCTAATATTTGTCATATGTAAGAGATCGATCGTTTTCAGAATTAACAAGCTAAGATTTTTATCTAATGATGTTTTACGTTTCGCCTCCATAAAGGTTTCCGTATAACTATTTTGAAATTGTAATGTTTTGAAAATTTCGTACTATTGTGTAAAGCAAAACATCCTGTAATTCAAACAGTTCAGGGTTCATTAAGCATCTAGTAGACGTAAGTCAAGGATCATAATTATTTATTTATCATAGCGTTTAAACTAAATTCTATCTAATCTCTTACTTCCGGCTTGTGAATTTTCATGCTTGGTACTATACTTAATTGATTGAACTTTTGAAAAAATTGTGTCAATGAGATGTTTTTGTTTACCTTCAATTTTTTTAAATCAAAATGTTCTTATTATTATCTAACGACAGAGTATGCATTGGAAGCATTCTACTTTTTTGGAATTTGCACAGTTTCTTTTTTTAAAGGTTAATTTTAAAACTGTAATGATTGTCCAACTGACATACAAGTATTTTGTTGAATAAAACATGGATATCTTATGAATTAATAATATTTTCAAAAGGTGCTCGTATACAGTATTTACCTGTACATTACCTGTTTGAAGCTGGCGAATTATTTGTTTAAATTTATTTATGGATGGTGTGCACCTAGTCGTTCTATTTTACACACATTTCATATTTCTTATTTAAGGTGTTCATAAAAAAAGATACTATGCGTACTTCTTTTTGTACGTATCCACTGAATATAGATTAAAACTAGGTGTGGTATAACCGTCAATGGAATATTAACCAAACAATAAAGTTCAAAAGACAGTTTCAATTTTGACAAGCATCGATATCAAATTTAATTGTTTTTTGAATCGTCCCGAATATAGACAAGTTTTGAATGCTTTCAAAAGAATTACACCACATTAGCAAAACGGAAAACTTCTTAAAAACAATAAGAATTACACTGGGCTTGACCACATGCGCATTAAGATGTTCAAACTAGTTTTCTAACTATTCATTCTCTTTTCCTTATCTAGACAGCAGAAAAAGACAAACAATTCACAATTAGATAATGACATTTTTGTTTATTCAAAAAAACATGTATCAACATTTTTTACACTGGTTGTGCAATTCTTAAACTAAGGGTAAATTTACAGTGATTTTATCTACATGTATCCTGGGGGAATC